TAAAAGAAAAGTACGAATAGAGTGAACATTTTATTGACTAAAGAAACTCTATGTAAATATGAATAAAAACCGATGCTCATTCTTATCCACCGAGAATCAAGAGTCAACAAATTGGTTAAACCAACTTCTCTATTCGTAAGAACCACTTAGTGGTAAAATGACACAATACTATGGACAAGGAAGTAATACAAGGTAGAAGTATTTGGTACGTTTAATTATTAAAAGAAAAGGACAAATAGGGTGAAAATTTTATTGACTATAGAAACTCTGAGTAAATATTAATAAAAACCCAAACTCAACCTTGACTATCAGTACAAGAGAAAGAAAAGTACAACAAGGGTGAAAAATTGATTGACTTTAGAAATTCTGAGTAAATATAAATAAAAACCCACATTCATTCTTATCCAACGAGAATCGAGACTCAACAAATTGGTTAAACCAACTTCTCTATTCATGAGAACCACTTTGTGGGAAAATGACACAATACTATGGACAAGGAAGTAAAACAAGGTAGAAGTAATTGGTAGGTTTAATTATTAAAAGAAAACTACAAAAAGGGTGGAAATTGTATTGACTGTAGAAACTCTGAGTAAATATAAATAAAAACCCAAACTCAACCTTGACTATGAGTACAACAGAAAGAAAAGTACAAAAAGGGTGAAAAATTGATTGACTTTAGAAATTCTGAGTCAATATAAATACAAACCCACATTCATTCTTATCCAACGAGAATCGAGACTCAACAAATTGGTTAAACCAACTTCTCTATTCATGAGAACCACTTAGTGGGAAAATGACACAATACTATGGACAAGGAAGTAAAACAAGGTAGAAGTAATTGGTACGTTTAATTATTAAAAGAAAACTACAAAAAGGGTGGAAATTTTATTGACTATTGAAACTGAGTAAATATGAATAAAAACCCAAACTCAACCTTGACTATCAGTACAACCGAATGAAAAGTACAAAAAGGGTGAAAAATTGATTGACTTTAGAAATCTGAGTAAATATAAATACAAACCCACATTCATTCTTATCCAACGAGAATCGAGACTCAACAAATTGGTTAAACCAACTTCTCTATTAATGAGAACCACTTAGTGGGAAAATGACACAATACTATGGACAAGGAAGTAAAACAAGGTAGAAGTAATTGGTACGTTTAATTATTAAAAGAAAACTACAAAAAGGGTGGACATTTTATTGACTATTGAAACTCTGAGTAAATATGAATAAAAACCCAAACTCAACCTTGACTATCAGTACAACAGAAAGAAAAGTACAAAAAGGGTGAAAAATTGATTGACTTTAGAAATTCTGAGTAAATATAAATAAAAACCCACATTCATTCTTATCCAACGAGAATCGAGACTCAACAAATTGGTTAAACCAACTTCTCTATTCATGAGAACCACTTTGTGGGAAAATGACACAATACTATGGACAAGGGAGTAAAACAAGGTAGAAGTAATTGGTACGTTTAATTATTAAAAGAAAACTACAAAAAGGGTGGACATTGTATTGACTATAGAAGCTCCGAGTAAATATGAATAAAACACACACACAACCTTGACTACTACAACACAACGTGTAATTAATTATTCATGGTCAATATTGGACGTAAAAGCAATACAGTTACATTCAAGCATTAAAAAGTCATTTACCGCTAAATGTTTATTTGACAAAGATTGATTTTTTTTCCTTAGCACCATACTTTCATTCATTCATTCATTCATTCAAAATGGTTTATTTCAAATAAAACTTTCATCGCGGCGTTTAACACATAATGTAATATATAACATATTATATACCTCATTTTAAGATTCTTTACTAATCCTGTCTTCTGATTGGTTGAAAATGCAGTCATGTTCTTAACCATGCCCGCTAATTGAAATTCATAGTCATTTTTCCCGGCTCTACCGGTTTATATCCATTTTTCATAGCACTTTTTCCATGGCTGTGAAACGTGACGTCATTTTGCTGCGATCCCCATTTTGGTTTACGTGTTACCGTATAAGTTTCTTTTGTGCGATGACCGATGCGCAATACCGTTAACGGTGTTTGAGTGCAATTCGATTTTGGTCGCTGCATTCAGGCGACGAATCTACCAATCCACGCAGCGCAGACGACCGATCGCCATTTTGTGTACTAAACTTATGGATGACATTCAGCTGCAATACTTAATCGATTCTGCTGATAGCAAAAATACGAAGTATGCAGTAAAATACGGCATTAAAATATTTGAAGAGTTCTTGCGAAATGTCAACACGGACCTCGGAGATTTAAACAGACTTCCGAATGCAGACCTGGACAAGATCCTTCAAAAATTCTATGCGGGTTGCAGGCAGAAGAACGGCGATTATTACAGCAAGAAATCAATGCTAACGATCAGATTTGGACTTCAGCGTCACTTTCTCAATACTAAATCTGTGGACATTATCAAGCATGAAGACTTTGCAAATTCGTCAAGAATTTTCAAGTGTTTTTCAGCAACGCTTAAACAGCAAGGGAAAGGATTTGTGAAACACAAATCACCGATCTCACAAGAAGACATGGCGAAAATTCAAGATTCGCTTGATTTTGACGATCCACAAGGCCTTCAAGATAAGGTATTTATAGATGTCATGTTGTATTTTTGCAATCGTGGGAGGGAGAATTTGCGTGAAATGACAGTCGACAGCTTTGCCATTTGTGAGGATGGGTTCGGTATATAAAATATATATTGACTGCTTTTAATATTCGAGGCATAGTTGTTTCTATAGGGTCTCGGGAAACTCACAACCTGCTATGACCCCGCGGCGCAAGCGCCTTGGGGTCATAGCAGGTTGTGAGTTTCCCTTGACCCTATAGAAACCACTATGCCTCTCAAAGCAGTCAATATATCCTTAATATAACATGATGTATTGAATCTGAAAAATAAATCAGTATAAATACGAGAAATATAGCTTATTGCAACACATGGAAACACAAATTAGAAAGAAATCAGAATTCGCATAAAATAACATAATTCTACTGAAATCATGTGAAAGAAAAAGGACTGAAGTAAGCAGTAAATGGTAAACTGAACAAGTGTATGTGGTGTAAAATATCGAGAGTAGCACTGAAGAGAGAGGAGAAAAGTTTGCAAATACGATGTAAATTATTGAAATTGAGAGGGGAGAGATTTAAAGAGGAAGGGTAAAGGCTGAGAGGGGGAAAGGCATAGAAAAAAGCAGTAGAAATAGAAAAAATCAGTAGAAAGCGAAAATGGAAAAAAAATGCATATAGGAGGAAAAGAAAGAGAAGGAAAAATAAGAAGATCACTATGAAGAAAAAGAAGAAGAAAAAGAGAAAGAAGAAGAAGAAGAAGAAGAAAAAGAAGAAGACAAAGATGAAGAAGAACAAGAAATGGAATTCAAAGATTAAAAGAACAAAACAAAGTGAAAACAAAATATACAACCATGCCTAAAGTGGACAAGAGATGGGGGTGAACACATCAGGTTATCTTACTAAACGTCTGTTGAGAGCCGGAAGGGCGTTTTCTCATATACTTATTGAGCACGGCGCGCACTACACAATTTTCCTGCGACCCGGTATACGTAAAAAGGGCGGTTGTATTAGATATGGAAATCTGAACAACCACTATCATCCTGATTAAGGTTCAAAGAACCGTAAGAATGTTAACAACCGCGATTTCAGTGCATTAGTCTCTTATAGTTAGAATAATAGCCGAATCGGCTTTAAATCGTAGAAAATTGTACTACTCGTCTCACGTCACTACGATTCTTTACCGATTCAGGTTTCCCTCTCTATTAAGGAAGCATACATATCTTAAAATTTAGATATTATCAAATAATATTACTATTTAGATCCTCGGTCATTAACATTTTAAATGTTTAAATGTTCATATAAAAATTCTATCACAAATTCTTCCTAAATCGGATCGTAGTTTTATCGTGTAGTGCGCGCCGGGCTTTAGATAGATATAATGCTTTTCTACATATCAATGTATGATGATAATGATAACTATACAGTGCGTCCCGTAAAAACTATACACTTTTGAAATGGCTGCCGAATAAAAAAATATATAATTCTGGGGGACAATTTTTATATGTATGGAAAGCTCATAAACTCAGCTTTCATATGACACCAAAAAGTTTGAACATAATTCATGCTTGGGTGAGCACTGCTCACTTTTGTAAAGGGTATGAAAATTAGGTTGCGCAGGAATTAGCCTTCCAATTTGTGAGAGGTAAATCCTTTGGTGCTTACAAAATCGAGGGTGATATGATACATTCATGATTTGCTGAGTGAATTACATGGTTTATAAAACCAAAATTAAACGTAAGTCTGACGTAAGAAGAACACAAGGCGTTCTTACGTAAAAACTTACGAACTCTGGGCCATTGTATAACCGAAAATCTTCGTTTCTCAAGAAGGTCTTGAGTTGTTCTTGCGAATTAAACGGCGTTCGTACGAACTCCGTAAGAAGGACGTAAGAAACTATGCCCCATCTGCGAATCTCTACGAACTCTGAAAATCGTAGGAACAGGGAGATTCGTACGAACGAATCGTTCGTACGAACATTTGTGACCGTGGCATTAGTCCCGGACAACTTGCCCATTTTTTTGTTGTACAATGGGAACACTTTTGTTTTAACTGTTTTGGGTTGAAAGAAAATCCAACCCTAATGGCAAACGTCGTTAAAAAGTCATAAAAATCAGAAAACCAAACATGAACACGTTAGGGAATTCGGACAGAAAAAAGGATGTTTTTATTTTTTCACTTTTGTAAGCCTACGAGAATTACGGATTGGCAGAATCAGCAGTGTCACTTTAATGTAATGCCGGGCAACTTTTTTATTTGTTCCAACACTCAAAATGACTAAAATGTCATTTTTCCCCAAATGAATGACTCGGGTTTTTTTCCATTTCGCCATTCTGTTTGTGTTATCTTTTCTGCTTTCATACAAATACAATTATTACAAGGGTTGGATTACCATTTAATGGTAATCAGATATGTCGTTTTGCATTTTTAATCCGCAATTCCACCGAGAATCGAGAGTCAACAAATTGGTTAAACCGACTTCCCTGTTCGTAACAACCATTAATTGGTAAAATGACACAAAACCATGTCCACGGAAGTAAAACAAGGTAGAAGTAATTGATATGTTTAATTAAAAGAAAATTATAAAAAGGGTGAAAAATATATTGACTAGAGAAACTCTGAGTCAATATAAACAAAAACCTACCCTCAACATTTACTATTCAAACACAACGAGGAATGATCTATTCATAGTTAATATTGAACTTTAAACCAACATAGCTAAAAGAATCGTTAAGAAACAAACATGCATTGAAAAGGTCATTTAGCGGGAAATGCTGTTTTGACAAAGATGTATTTGTAATATAATATTTTCATCTTTTCCCTATTATTCCTTAGCACTACATGTTATGTTATCACACTGAACGGTACGTCTATTGAGAGCTGGAAGACCGTTATCTAATTAACTTTTAAGCCCAGCGCGCACTACACGATTCTCCTGTGATCCGATTTACGTAGTAAAGGCGGGTGTATTATGATATAGAAAAAGCAACCACTATCCTCTTGATTTAGGTTTTGAATAACGATAAGAATATTAACAACTGCAATCTTAGTGCATTAGTCTCTTATAGTTAGAATAATAGCCGAATCTGCTTTAAATCGTAGACAATCGTACTACTGCCTTGACGTCACTACGATTCCTTGCCGATTCAGGGTTTTCCACTCCTTAAAGGGAGCATGAAATCTCTTGAAATTTAGATTTTGTCAAATCATATTACTATTCAGATCCTCGGTCATTAATATTTCTAATGTTTGAATGTTAATATAAAGATTCCATCACAAATTCTTCCAGAATCAGATCGTAATCACATCGTGTGGTGTGCACCGGGTATTAGATATACATAATGCTTTTCTAGATCTTAAGGTATGATAATTTGGTAATCCTAAAGGCATAGTGACAGATTTTCATATAATAACAAAGATTATGATGACAATATGGCACAAATTGCTTTTGTGTTTCTTCATCTTGAAATAATTAACCTTACACATTAATATTGTGGATTTATATTTAGCACTATAACCTTCCGCGTATTTTAACTTGATTGTTTATGAAGGAAAATGAGTCCATAATTAATACAATTTAAAAACAAAAGAAAAGTTTTATTATTAGTCTTAACATTCTTAGGGTCTAAATCACAAAAGGATAAACATTGGCTTCTTCTCGATGTAATCAGAAAAAATCACATGAACCTACATATATGATAATCCTTTTTTATGCTTTTCTTAATTTAGTTTCAGGTAAAAATGTAATTTTGACAAATTTTGTTAATTTTAGCAAGGATTTCGAAGAGGAAATGAGATTTCAAATTGTATAGCTGATTGCTTCCAAGCATATTCTTGAACTTGTTTACTTGAACTTGTTTCTGAAGATAATCCCTTTTAAAACAAAGCACAATTGCAAAGACCTTCAAGAAATCAACTCAAGAACAATATTATTTGAAATCATTGTCTTACATCCTCCATCTTTGAATTACTATATTTTCCCAGAAATCATCTGAAGAATCTATGCCAACGTTTCGGGGTTTGACTTCTCTCCTTTAATTGAAAGAAAAACATTGAAAGCCGATAAGAAATTTCTATTGTTAAAATACAAAACAGTATGCAGATGTTTAAAAATCAATCTATTAGAGAAAGAGTATGACATTATTTACAAGCACTTATTCTGCATAAGTGTATAACTGATCTACTGTTGTACATTTTCTCTTTCATTTTTTAAATGGAATAGAAACTGAAGAAGAGATGTAGATTATGCATTATAAAATTAACAAAACACACAACTTTAAAAGGTTCACGATCGCAAAGACTTTAAAGAAAATTTTCGAATAGCAAATTCAAAACCCTACTGTGTATGCAAAAGGAATCATATTCCGATTATTTAGTTCCAGTACATCGTTGCAATGTTCGCAGATTTCAATTGTTGATGGAGAAAGGCAATGACATTGCCTTTGGATGTTTTCTCAAAAGTTATTACGATCGTCTTAAACACACTTTTGCAAGAAAGACCTAGGATTAGTATCTTTTAACCACAATTCTGAGTAAACAGTGCATACATATTGGTGTGTACATTTCTCCTATAACACCGGTCACGTGATGCATATTCTGCAGCCTACTGTCTGGCGAGGATGAAGGCAGCCAGCATGGCCACGCCCATAGCAACGAAGCTGGTTGTCACGGTGGTACCTCCATTACAGAGGTTGGAGTTGCAGCAGTAGATACAGGTACCGCCTGCGCAGCCCTCAGTACAGGCAGGAGCACATAAACGTGTCACTGTTGATCCACTGACTGTTTTCTAAATGATAAAAATAATAACAACAACAAAAAATAGTAGTGATGGTGGTAGTAGTAGTAGACTAGTGGTAATAGTAGTCATGGTATTAGTAATGATACGGAAAAATGATGCTAATGATACTACTACCATTATTACTACCACTACTACTACTACTCTTAACAATATTAATGATACTGATAATGATAGCAATGATAATAATACTTATAATAGTAATATTAACAAATAAAATAATGACATTGATAATAATCAAAACACTTACGATAATAACATTACTTGTAACATTAATTATATCTTGTTGAAAGAAAAATAATGATTATAATATAATAATAGAATGAAATATTATAATACAATGAAAATGCTGAATTTGGCTAGATTATTGCATCGTTTCTCAAAAATAACAAATGGTACTTTTATGTAAATATGTTGCGTCACCTTTCTCACTAGTAAAGCTTGTGCATTTAATTTTAAAAGAATCTCGCACCTTACAAGTCATATTTTATAATTATCATTAAAATAATAATAATTATAATAATAATAATAATAATGATGATAATGATAATATTACAATAATTATCATTATTATAATAATGTATAAACAAATAATAATAATAATAACAATGATAATATTACAAATATTAACGATAACAATAAATTTGATGATGAAATTGATATTGATAATGATAATTATGATAATAACAAAAATTGGTGCCATGAAAGTTCAATCAAAACATCAAAGTCATATTTCGAATATTCATTTGAAGATCATTCCTTTTTAGGTGCCATCTTCTTCTATGATATTCCTCCGCAGTACCATCGCAAAAATGAGAACGCTCGCAAGTTATGTTTCACCTTTACTTAAATACAATTGTCTTACCAAACAAATGATGTAAGTCATTCTTGTAGATAATTTTCTTAGTTACACCGTATCAAAAGTAGATGTCTTACCACACAATACGCGTATGTAATCAAACTAGTACCAGGACAAGTGTTCGATACACCTGATGCAGACGAATCGAAAGGATCAGTACAACCCGAAACTCCACAGTTGTAGCACTCAATGGCCCAGGTACCTGTGTTATTAAAGATAATAAACATTATCATACATTTCAAAACGGGTTCTAGAAAATAGGGAATCAAAATGGTCAAATGATGATGCACGGCTAAGGGATGCGTAGATGGGTATCTCTGAGGCGGTCAAAAATAAGTACCAAGTCATTTGATTTTTTTTCTTCCCTTTTTAACCCTTTCGGTGAACTTTATTTCACATATCTACAATGCTCACAATGACATAAATACATATAATATTAAATTATAATGTAAGCATATCAATCAAAGCTTTCACCTGTTTTTTATTTATCTTTACTTTCGTTTTAGAAGTTAAATGTGACATGAATTAATACTTCAAATCAGTTTTAAAAGTTCCAGTAATGGAGAATTATATTGTTTTTATAATTTCCGCTAACATTTATCCGCTTACAGCCAGTATATATAAAATTGTAACCGAAATGTGAGTTAAGTATAAAAATATTTGTTTCTGAAGCTAACGGATTAGCTGAGTAGGGGAATGGATTATAGTAAATGGGGGAAGAGACGAAGGGAATGACGGAACGGATTAACTAAACAAGGGATGGGCATAAGTAATAAGGGGAGAATTCAAAAGTGAATTATGGAATCAAATAAGGGAATTAGCAAAGGGATCAGAAATGGATTAAGTTAATAAGTGCAGTGATTGGGAAAAGAGATTAAGCGAAGTAAGGAAGGGATTAAATGAATTTGCAAAGGTATTAATTAAATAATGACAAAGTGATTAACTAAATAAGGAAATGGATAACGTTCATAAAGGCAGTTATTGAAGGAAAGGATCAAGTGAATAAGGGACGAAAAATTAAATGTCAATACTGAGCGGGTTAGGTTAATAAGGGCAGTGATTAGGTGATAAAGGGGGGGTGAATAAGAAATGGATTAAGTGAACGGGTAGTTACTTTAGTTGAAAAGGGAGGTGATTGATTTAATAAGGGGATTGAGTTAATAAGGGCAAAGATCAAGGGAAGAGGTCATTAGAAGTAAATAGGCCTTACCTGCGACCATTGAGATCAAAACAGTAACCAAGAATAACTTCATGACTAACTCGTCTGCCTGAACGTATTCTAAATGATAACACAAAAATAAATGAAATATATTCGATGATAATTAATAAGCGATAATGAAAAGTGCATGTAATTTAGACCTACACAGGATAGCTTATTCTAATGATATGTCCATTTATATAGAGCAGGGATACAATTGGGTATCGAAATCACACATGAAATTGATTTTTCGAATATATTTGCAATAGTATTCACAATTAAATTTTAGATAAATTCAATGAATATGTTTATCCTTCACAAATAGAAAATGATCATACCATGATGTTTATATTCATAATTGTATAAAGAAAGAAGGCAAAATTCTCTAAAACCACACAGCTTGGAAAGGAAGAGGGCGAAATAAAAGAAGAGTAAAACCAGTACATTGTTAACAAAATAATACTTTTGATTTAATACAGTTGTATCCAAACAATATATATAGTTAAGATCATCCAAATTGAATTATTGGCTATATACATCGATACATATCGTCGGCCTTATGCTAAAAGGGCCTTAACCCGATATTGGGGGTTATTGAGTTATTAACATCACCTTGTAGATTTCAACATTCTCTTTAAAATGATGTGCTTCACTTGTTGATATTCGATTTATTTATGAAGATAATTATGAATTTCAAAAGGGCCTTAACGCGTATCTCATCTTTTTCCTTAGGCCAAAAGGGCCTTAACCTACACGGCAAATCTTTTATCAATGACAGATTATTTCGTAATTTCCATTTAATTCGATAAATATCAGTAGAAACACAATTAAAAACATGATTAGTCTACAATAGACACAATGTACTTAAAAAAATCACTGAAGGTATATGTCATGAATTTAGATCATGAAATCTGAGTGAAATTTAAATTAGGCGTGGATGCATGAAATGCGACCGACTCGTTGAAATACGCAGATGTCAACGTATGGGACTGTGATGAAAATAAACAACGAAAAAAGTGTCCTAAATGTACAATCTCTAAAAAATAACGTTACCAAAAGCTGCATTATATTAATAAAAATATTCAGATATCAAAAATACTTTTTCTTACATTTTAATTAATCAATTTTATCAGTTTTCGTGATCCAGCAGCCGTAGGAGGGGCTTTCTGGCAAATCAAAGGTGTTGCGAAACAAGAAAATTTCTTTATGCCAGAAGGGCGCTAACTATGCGCGCGTATTTTTGGCATAACGCCGCGTAGGTTACGCCCCTTTTTGGCACGATGCCGAGTAGGTTACGGCCCTTCTGGCATAAATACGCTACATTAAAGCCTTATGCCAAAAAGGCCCTAACATGTTTTTTGCACAAAGCATGTACAATTCTGAATATTTTATAACACATTTAACACATTTCATGTAAAACATAATAACTTAACTCATTTATCGAAATTGGCTTCAAACACACAAAAACGACCGCAAACTTTTGATTATTAGAGAGGCCAACACTTTAAACGCGATTATTTCGGAATGGCCAAAAGCAGTTAAGGCCCTTTTGGCATAAGGCCGACGATATACAATTACATCAAGTTTAAGGATTGAATCTGGTGTTGCCGAATCCACTGGCCCATCTCCATACAATTGGGATCTTGTTCCCTTTCGCATTATATTTATAAATATGTGTGTGTGTGTCCTTTTCATCATTTGGTCTAATGTTGGTCAAATGACGTTAGACCATATGATAATTACACCAAATAGCAATAGAAAGCAAAGGCTTTAAGGAGTGCTGTGGTTTACTTGTGAATGCTCGTAACTTTCATACAAAAGGTTCCGGGTTCGATCCTATTCTAACACATCTGTCCCTCTTGACCAGAGAATCCTGGATTCACCACTGAAAGTGTGAGTTGCATATTACATGTATATCACCCAACTTTTTTCTACAGCTACACTAGTGTTTGCAAACGGAAATTGTTGCTGTTTCAAGTGTAAGATGCCGCAAATTTGATTTAAGCTCCTTTTAATCTAAGCGTAAAAGTGAGAAAAGCACATCAGTGAAAGTTTGAGCAAAATCTGACTACACGTAAACAAAAAGTCGTGATTTCTGTATGGAAGTTTGTATGAATTAAAAAAAAATGACAAGCCTGTTTCTTTTCTTTCCATGGGTTTGCGTAAAAAACATACATATGTGCAATTAAAATAATATTTGCTGCTTTGACTATAATTGCTTATTTTCTTTTTAGAAAATATCAAATTTTATGAATTCTTAGTGCAAATCCAGTTAGAAGAGACCTCGGAAGAAACGTTACAGAGTTTCTAATTTGTGTTTGATCGAATCCAACTTTAAAAAGTCATAGGTTTCGTTATTATTACTTTTACTCATCTCTTCACTGATCCGTTTTTCTGTTTCTATTCTTCTATTAAAACAAAAATCGTTATCAGGGTTGAATTTATCGTTAACTTCATCTAATGTCATTATATTCATTGCCCTCACACTATGAATTAATTACGTCAGGCGAGCCCAAGACCACTCAAGGGAGACGATTAAAACGAAAGCTTTTCATGAGATGATGGTCTTTTGGGCAGCTTCCTTAAATACACGTTTCAATGAGTAACATTGCTTGAGGGAGACAAAATGTGGTCTTTATATTAAGGTGGTTACTAGATAAGGTTTCCTTTTCAAAATCACAATTGGAACTTGTAACTTACAAGCCTAGCTTTAACCATAGGACCCTTCATAGTTAATTACTTAATTAGAACTATATTGGTAGGCCAAAAAGATAAACAATTGAAATAAGTTATGATCATGATAATCTGTTTGCATATATATATATATATCAAGTAAAAACAAAAAGAAGTTTAACAAGATTATAAATAAGTTAAGAACATATTATGTATTTATGTTAAATATTAAATAATCAAACTTTAAAACAATAAACAAAATAAAACACACATAATGTAGAATGTGTAATAATTATGAAATTAAGACAAACGCGTATTTCATGTTAAGTAGAAGTAAAATGAAGTTTGGAATAATAATAAATACTTTAAGAGCATTATGAATATGGATCAGTTAAATACTACTTATATATTTGTTTTTGTTTTTAAAGAGACAAAAACTGATATCGTTATCAATAAGATATTTATTCCAACTGTTGTAATTCTATAGTTATATATGTTTATATATATATATATATGTATATATAAATAAAATAAATGCACCTGTACACACACACACGCGTGTAAACAATACGCCGAAACTCCAACTGAAACTCACTTTAATTAATTATTTGTTTTCTTTTTACGAAGAATTCCAAATTATCTATGAGGTCTCTTAAATTCTAGAAAAATAACAACTGAATTAAGTTGTTTTAAATTGTAATTACTTAAAACAAACACCTTATAAATTATATATTGGGCAAACAGTATGATGACGTTAGTAAGAATCATATTTTCGTGTCAAATCCATTCCTTATTATTGTTTATTGAAATCGATGCACAAATCATAAAAAGTAAAGATCAAACTTTTTTTTCTACGCCAGAGTAAATACTTCAGGACAATACAAAAGGAAAGTATTTTCATCTCTGTGGCAGAATTTGCACGTAATTTCAGATGGGATTTTCACAATTCCAGTTCGTGCTGCCCAAGTACACTATACATTTAGTTCAGAAGATTTTAATTCAACCAACAAGGATTAAAATTGTTTTGATTTAGTGTTTAAAATATTGGTGTAATCACCTGATTGTATTTAAGAGATTGTGGCGCATTGTAAGTCTTGATTTTGGATTTATTTACATAATAATAATAAATAATAATAATAATAATAATAATAATAATATTTTAAAGTCCACTTCAAATTTTATTAAACCGAAACGGAAATTCTTTTTGCCCAATTGATCGTGAGCCCGGCAGCCACTGAGCAGCGCCAGATCGACGTTGCTCTATCCCTTATTGTTGAACGCCAAACAAGGTAGCAGCAACTCCCACCTTTAACGTCTTTTGGTATGACGCGGCCGGGGTTCGAACTCACGACCTCCCGGTTGTGAGGCGGATGATCTACTGACTAAGCCAACAGTATTAAATCAAACCAAAAAATGCGGAAAAGCTTTCTTAATCCTGGAAAATTGGAATTCGACCAGTAAAAAATTCGTCATTATTATTTGATCAATTTGTGAATAATCTATCCATACTTAGATGCTGCTTGTAAGTGTCGGTCTGCTTGGTGATGCAGATATACAGTAGGCTTGCGGGTGCACCATGTGAGAGAGAGAGGGAGGATTGAGGATTTTCAAGACTATACCAATAGTCCTTTTCAGGACTAACAAACCCTCAAGAAAGATTACCGAGAGTCCTTTTCAGGACTCCTCAATCCTCCCTCTCTCTCACATGGCGCACCCGCAAGCCTATACATACTTATTAATATTGTTTGTTTATACTATCCATACTTTTCTCATGGAACGAATTAAATTAAAACAGTTTACCTTTGACATTGTTATTGGTGTTATACCATATGATTTCATTCTGGATATCATATGAATGCAGAAAATCAAAAAAACGTAGTTCGGCCAAAATGGGAAAAAATAACGAGAAAACAGTGGAAATTAACATAAAGATGTGTTATCAGTTTAATTGTTAGGTAGGTGATATACTTTTATTGTGTAAAACACATAAATATCCTGACAAAATTATGGCTCATCACATTTAGGGCGTGGTGTTCAGAGCGCGCCAATCAAGTGGTCTTTCTACTTGAAGAACAAAACAGGGTAAGAGCACATTTTGTTTTTTGTCTTTGTGTCACAAAATTTGAAAATTTGGCCGATCGATATTTCGTTTCGTTGGGGGGGGGGGGGTGGTTGGTAAAATTTGCTTTTTGGGTCATCCATTTTTTTTCAAATTGTTTTTATTATTATTTGTTTTTATTAAAAACAAAAAAACACACCAAAGGGTGGGGTTTTCCTCAAAAACACATACATACAATTATATATATATATATAAATATATATGTATACTCATGTACACTTACACACATACACACATATATATATATATATATATATATATATCATTTGGAAAATTCTCCGTCACGGCAATATAGAAATAAAAATTAAAACAGTTGACATAAATATTAACCCAAAGAGTTCAATTCACTATTACCGGTTTCATTTTCTTTCGTCAGATAGTGCATTCAAGATTATTTAATGATTCGTACTATAGTAATAGTCAACTCAACTCAATAGGATATTTATTTCAACGGTTTTTAATAATGATATATACATATATATATATATATATTAGTAGAAATATGTACGCTTTCATACATATACACACGCACAAAAAACACATAAGCACTGGCACATGCACACTCGTTCACAAAAAAAAACACATTCGCAAATATATATTCTAAATGAGCCCAAGAAAATGAAAACTGACTCGTGCATTCTCTTTCGAAGTGTTCAAAAAATGCCTACCAATCCTAACCAGATTTCCCTGAGCAATATTATGGCATTGAAATTGCTTAAGTTGATTGTCTGACATGTAATTGGGTTTATTGTTCAAAATATACACTATACTGTATATGTTGAGCTAAATGTTTAACAAAGAAACAAAGAACATTTATAATGTATCCAACTGAGCTTAGTATTCATTTAGATCAGGACTTACCAATGAAAATATAATGAATCGAGTTGAATGTGTGGAGACAAGACTTGGATTGAAATTCCTGCCAAAAAGACCTGTTTATCACTGGGGCATCAATCTCGCTAATGAAGTGAAACTGGATGTGCATATCATAAAAACACGCACACAAAAACGCGCGCACACAAAAACGCGCGCATATATAATCTTTTATCGAGCGTGTACGGATAAACCAAAGACGTTTAAATATATATCGTAGACGGAAAGCTGCACGCGCGGAAATCATCACGCTAATGGGATTAGGCTCCGCCTTTTTTTAATCATGCGGAGACGAAATAATACCCCAAGTGGAATTCTGATTGGATAAGAGCGTCAAGAATATGTATTTTATCGATAGTATCGTTCAAGAAATATTTTAATTTAGTTCTATTACCTCATTGCGCCACTTTAATTATACAGATGTATGAACGACGCTACTTGCACAAAGTGAGTAAGTTTAGCTAACGGAAACGGGTTAGTATGCTTGAAATTATGATGAGTAAATTTAGACATTTATTTACAAAAGCTGTAATAGTCTTTGTGATCTACGGTTATTTTTTTTTTACATTTTGAGAAAGTTCTGAACGGATTTTTTTTTTTAGAAAAATCTAGTAATCTCTTAAAATTACACTTTGATTTTCACCATAATGAAGTAGTTTGACTGTGGTTTCTCGTCTGGTCTCCCTGCTACTCCAGTTAGGTACCCGGGGCGTCCGGCAGGGCCACCCCCGGGAATTCCGGCGCTCATCTGCAACAAGATCTAACTGTCTAATCTGGTTAATTCCACAATTGATGTCTATATTTAATGTTACACCTCGAAATAATCTATCGATAATGTTTTTCTTCATACTTTAATCATCCAAGCTGATGATTTATTGTTGAAATATTTAGTAGATCTGGACTCACTTGGCTTACCCGTGCCAGATGTTTGCTTCTTTACATCATCGACATCGTGTGTGTCAAACACAGGAAGACACGAACGTGGACACACACGAATGCACACGCACATAAGCCCATGCATACATACAGGTGTCGGGTAAAAATGCCAGAGGAAATAATGCCAGAGGTAAAAATGCCAGTGGTAAAAATGCCAGAAGTAAAAATGCCAGAGGTAAAAATGCCAGAGGTAAAAATGCCAGAGGAAAGAACACCAGAGGAAAATATATAAACATTACTATTATCATTGTTATCATCATCATCATTATTATCAGAACTTTTGTAATTAAATAATTGTTGTTATCCAATAAAATACCAAACAATATTTGAGCGAGGCATAATCCGACAGTAATTGTTCGGTAGTAAAGAGGAACCGGGGTACGTGGTCGACACTTCGGTTGGGTCAAAGGGATGTTCACAGCCCTCTCCTTGGCAATTGCAGCAGAAAATGGCAGTTGAACGGGGGTTATTAAAGAGCAAGGTAAGTCCTACGGTATAATGATAATAATAATAATAATAATAATAATAATAATAATAATAATAATAATAATAATAATAATAATAATGGTTTATCTATTCAAAATATGCCTCGCAGCCCGGGGCTGAATTGTACAATATTTTTCACAACTTTTATATATGATAAAAACAAACACTATATAGAACCATAATCGTACAAGTAAATATAATACCAAGGAGCGCGTGTGAGTATAGCATTTGATTGGTAGTACGATTTTAGGTTTATATTAGAAGGTTCAAAATAATATAGTGTGATGTAAGTCAGCAATAATAACTAAAAAAAAAATTACCAACAATACACCTTTTCACGATTAAGGCCGCTATATTAATTTGCGAGTAAACATTGCGTCTTCAATGTTTTTTCATGTGCGCATATATTGTTGCGTCACTGCCTGCGCTGTGTGCTAACATCATATTGACAAGGGCGCCATTTCAAATTACGAGTAAACAAATTTATTTACTCGTAATTCAATGTCAGCGCATGCGCACTCTTGTAACCGTGAAAGGGTGTATTAACAACGAAATCCTCATTTTCCTTGTTATGTGGTCTCCTTTTTAGACCTTCATGTCTGTTGTTGCTTCTGTCGTTTCTGTTGTGCGTATGTGTATGTTTAATGAGAAACAGTTATTATTATTATTAATAGGAATACAATTATTATTACTACCATTGTTATTAGTGTTGTTCTAATCATTATCATCATCATCATCATTATCTTCGATCATCACAATCGTTATCATTATCATTAGCTAATACCTGCGATCAGTGATACAAATAGAGTTGAAAACAAATTGTCTTTATGGCTTCGCTTGGTAACTTGGCAGGACCAGGCTTTAGGCTGAAAATAAAATATATAGGGATATATATTTACTATACATTAGTATCGAATTCATCCTTGTTCATTGACATTGTCATTTCAGCTGGCAAAATCCGCAGCATCAAGACAGCCCATTTCAATAGCTTGTCATATGAATAAAAAGAAATATAGATTGAACACAATTTTTTTCGGGAAATGTCAGATTCACTTGTATTGCTTCACAAATAAAAATATTAATGAATTAAGAAAGAAACAACGAGAAAATATGAAAGAAAGAAATATGGAAAGAAAAATGAAAAGAAAAGAGAGAGAGAGAGCGATAGAAAGAGCGAGAGAGAAACAGAGAGTGGATGAGAAAAGAGAACTAAGCCACACCGACGAGATCGCCCTCAGACCGACAACAGACCAAATAAATATTGAATGAGCCCTATAAATACCTTTGTCACACCGCCAAACCGACTGTCTACCGACTCCAATCCGACTGAGTTTCTGCCGTTAGTGGTAATGGAATATGTTTAAAGATGTGTTGTCGGATTGCTGTCAGTGCCATTGGTATGACTGAGGTATAATACGTCAGTCAATCCGCCAGACTGACTCCATCCCGGTTATAAACCGACCGATTCTTGGCCATTTGGGTGAATGTACTTGTTTGATCGGTCTGTTGTCGGATAGCTGTCGGTCTCGCTGCTGTGACTGGCGTGTAATTGGCAAGAAGCGATCGATATTTTTGTTGGTCGGTTTGTAATCGGTTCGCCATCGGTCAGGCCGTGTGAATATGGTATCGGGAAGAAGAGAGCTAAAGTGGTAACAAAAAGTAAAACATCTAGGAGAAGAAAAAATAAATTAGAAAACAAACTCATTATAAAAAAGCCAAATAATTGAACTTTTATTTGGGAGGCCGGGGGGTCGTGGTGTGAGTATGAGGGGGGGGGGAGGGGAATAACATGAGAAAGTAACTATACATTCATGAAAAATAAATCTTTTGAATGGCTACCTTGTTTCTCGACTAGTTTTGCCATTTCCTCAACCTTCCGAAAATTTGGAAAACAAATTATTCACATTTTTCTTTTCTTCATTACAGGGCTGCAACTTAGACTAGTCACAAACTTGGGCATAGCTACTAGTGTATTAGTCCAGAATCTGGCCTATTTAATTTTGATCTCCACCACCAACGCTAACCTCTCCCTACTTACTTGCTCCCAGCCGATGATGGCGTGATCATGAAATTAGGACGCCCGGCGGTCCTCAGGCTGGGCTTGTGAGCATAATTATGAGTTTGTTGATAACGCCATCTTCGACGGCTTGAATCAAGTGTAGGGAAATTATAAAGGACCGTGCAGATTCTGGACTACTAGTGTATATGTGTAGTCCAGAATATGGCTGGTTCTCTATAATTCTATATTCCCTACACTTGCTTCAAGCCGCCGAAGATGGCGTTAACAACGAACTCGTACGCCCAGCCTAAGAACCTTCCAGACAAAAACTTCTTCCTTTTCTTCGGCGGGCGCCCTGATTTAAGGATCACGCCATCTTCGGCTGGCAGTGAGTAATTAAGTAGGGGAAGGTCGCATTGCGTTTGTGTGGTAGAGATCAAAGTTGAATCGGCTGAGGTTCCTCGCGCTACTAATACAGTCCCTCAAATATCCGACTGGGACCACCTCCTGCTCTCTTATGGTACTGATCTAAACTGGCATTAATCCCTTTTGAAGCATGATAAAAACCCGTTCAAATAATTATGTATCTGTGGTTTTTAATGGTATCTTTTGAACCATTAATTTATTTACGGGACGAGAGGATGTACCGAAAATTACTGGATCTAATTACAGGCGTGCGACCATTACTTCTTTTGTTAGCACGAATATTGTACTAATACTCTGTGGTGCAAACAAAAAATCAACGAGGTAGAATAGCGCCCTCTAATATCAAACAAAAAACAACTAGTTTTTCAAAAAAAATGTGAATGACCTTTAACCATGTTAACTAAAAAGGAGAAACGTCACGTGACTACAAAGACACCTCTCTGTCTCTCTCCCTCTTCTATCCCACTTCTTCTCTCTCTCCGGTCTATCTCTCTCTCCTTTTCTCTCACCTCTCTTTCCCTCCTCTTCTCTCTCTCTCTCTCTCTCTCTGTTTCAGTCTCTCACTCTGTCTCCCTCTCTACCTCTCTCTCTCTCTCTTAATTCCCTCCATTATTCATGGTCACTTAATGTTTTAAAACACAGTCATATCTGGATATAGAAACCGCGCAATTGACACAAGAAGAGTGACCATCATTGACAAGTGGTCATTACGTGCCATTTATATTAGCATGTTTAGTACAGCTAGGATTCAATGTTAAACGACGTTCGATGATTGTGACATGTAGGCCCCTGAATTCCCAAAATAGTCGTTGACGAATAAATAACTGCACCAAGCTATCCTGTTATATCACTCAAATTAACATGTCTGAGCATTCTAACAAACTTGCATTACATTTCATTTTAAATTATTCATCTGTGTAAAAAAAAAAAAAAAAAAAAAAAAAAAAAAAAGCTTTAGCATCTTTTTGAAGAATTCCTTCTTTGGGTTGCCGTATTGCCAAGGCCTTTCCAACATTTGTTAACATGTCACCATAGTGCATGAATTTCATTTTCAGATTCTATAGAATTTTGCATTCATAGATGACCAGTTGGGAACAATCGTTCAGTCATTTACAAATATGACAAATATGACACTGTGTTATGTTAAACAAAGAAAAGTGCTCTGCATAACAATACCAGTGCTTACCAGTGCAATTTTGCTACTTTTTACTTTTTACTTTGCCCCTC